TGGAAGCGGATCTGGGGTAATATACTCCACGGATGGCTATATCATCACAAATAATCACGTTGTAGGTTTTGCTGACAAAATAGTTGTCACTGATTCAGAAGGTAATAAATTTGATGCTGAAAAAATCGGAACTGATGAATCCACTGACTTAGCAGTCATAAAGGTAATAGGAGCTAAAAATCTTGTCCCTGTAAAAATAGGAGACTCTGAAAAAGTTCAGGTGGGCGAATGGGTGCTTGCTGTCGGAAATCCTTTTGGATATCTCTCTTCTACAGTCACTGCCGGTATAGTAAGTGCAAAAGGTAGAAAACTTGACATCATTAAAGGCGAAAAAGCGATAGAAGAATTTATTCAAACAGATGCAGCCATCAATCCAGGTAATAGTGGTGGAGCACTAGTCAATTTGCAAGGTGAGCTGATAGGAATCAATACCGCTATAGCTACACCTACGGGCACATTTGCAGGATATTCATTTGCAATTCCAACAAAAATTGTAAAGAAAGTAGTAAAAGATATCATTGAAAATGGTGGTAACATCGAGCGTACTAACCTAGGTGTAGGTGGTTACGATGTAAATGAAGATATAGTTAAGGAGTTTGGGCTTAAAATTAAAAACAATAAAGGTTTTTATATAGAAGAAGTAGAGAAAAAAAGTGCTGCCCAACTTGGTGGCCTTTTACCAGGTGATGTTATTGTAGGTATTAATGAAAATATCGTCGCAAATTATGATGATATAGAAAAAACCATGAAGTACAATAAAGTTGGAGATAAAGTAAATATTAAAGTGAATAGAAATGGCAAAGAAATGACAATTCCTGTCCAACTAAGGAAGACATTTTAGTGTTTATATATAATTAGTAACCCAATCATGAGAACATTGGGAGCTTAAATTCAAAGTGACACAAATAGTAAAAATTTTGAGTTTAAGTTGGTTAAAGAAAAGTTGGTTTTTCGTTTTGTTTTGATTCGTCTGCTCTCCCAAAAGAGCAGACGTTTTTTTTTATTTCAAACAGATAAAATTAATTCAAATACTTTCCTACGATAGGCATACGTCTTCCTACTCCGAATGCTTTAGGACTGACGCGAAGTACTGGAGCAGTTTGATGTCTCTTAAATTCATTGATATTTACCAATCTTAGTATTCTCCTGACCAAAGCAGGGTCGTATCCCATTTCCATAATATCTTGTGGACCTTGGCGCTTTTCTATATATTGGTAGAGAATGGTATCTAGTATATCATAATCAGGAAGACTATCACTATCTTTTTGATTTGGTCTGAGCTCTGCAGATGGTGGTTTGGAAATAGAGTTGACAGGAATCCATTCTTCATCTTTATTGATATAATGAGCGAGTTCATAAATTTCTGTTTTATACACATCTGCCAAAACAGACAAACCACCACACAAGTCACCATAAAGCGTCCCGTATCCTACCGCCATTTCACTTTTGTTGGTGGTATTGAGCAAAATGTGGCCAAATTTATTGGAGATCGCCATATTTAGAATACCTCTGACCCTAGCCTGGATATTTTCTTCTGTGACATTAAATGGAAGTTCACCAAACAATGGAGACAGCTTCAGCATGAAAGCATCATACATATCTTTGATAGGGACAACATCGTATTGAATACCTGATTTTTTTGCCAAAGCTACAGCATCATCTACTGAATGTCCTGTAGAAAATTGTGATGGCATGAGCAATACGCGTACATTTTCTGGACCTAATGCTCTAGCTGCAAGTATGGCAGTAACAGCAGAATCTATTCCACCTGAAAGGCCTAGAACTGCTTTAGTAAATCCTAATTTTTTGAAATAATCCTTAATACCTAGCACGATAGCATCATGAATAAGGGCAATCTTTTCTTTAGGTTGTTCCTGTATCGAGCCACCTGCGTCTACTTCGTTGAGATCATAATGTCTGATGCTCTCTTCAAAATATGGTAATTCGTCATGAAGTGCACCATTTTTGGACATTACGATAGACCCACCATCAAAAATCAATTCTGTCTGAGCGCCACAATGATTGACATAGAACATGGATACGCCATATCGCTCCACATTTGCCTTGACTACTGCAATACGACTAGCAGCATGATTATAGTTGAATGGTGATGCGGATACATTAATCATAAAATCAGGACTGTACTTCATCATTTCATCCATGGGAATAACCGTATAAAGTGGATCATCTGTACCGACATCCCAAATGTCTTCACACACCGTAAGTGCTATTTTTTTGCCTTTATACATTAGAATATTCCATTCTTTAGCTGGCTCAAAATATCTGTATTCGTCAAAAACGTCATACGTTGGTAGCAAAGTTTTGTGTTGCACAAATTCAATTCGACCATTGGCAAGAAAATATACTGAGTTAAATAAGCTTTTCCCTTTAGCTTCTGGATTTCTAGATGGTGCGCCTACGACGATGGCGATATCATGCGCGTATGTACACAAGGTCTGAATGCTCTCATCTGAAATTCTGATAAAATCATCAAACTCCAAAAAATCTCTAGGTGGATATCCACATGTTGCTAATTCGCTGAAACAAATAATATCTGTACCTACATTTTTGGCCGCTTTAATAGCTTCTATCATCTTGGCAGTGTTGCCTTCGAAATTGCCAATATGATAATTGAGTTGTGCAATGCTGATTTTCATGATTGAATTTAAAAAATACCAATTGTTTTATTATAAAGTCCCAAAGATACGAACTTAAGGTTAACGATTAGTATGACTAAATTTGATTCTTTTTGTGTGAAGAATAAAGCTGAAATATTTTTTAACTTTTCACTTCCAACTATAATCAGCTTTTCCAATTAGGCTTCCATCTTTTGAATAATAACTCCAAGTTCCTACTCTTTTTATCTTTTCGATTTTGTAACTACTTGGCTCACTATTTTTATCAGATTTATAAGTAACATCAAAAACGATTTTTTTAAATTGTCCTTCTATTACCTTAACATATGTATTATTACGAACGTAGGAAAACTCTTCATATTTACCGTCCAATTCACCATCTAAATTAAAATTTGCAATAATTTTCTTTTTGTCATTAGTAAAAAACTGCCATTCTCCAACTCTCTTGCCGTTTATATATTCACCTTTACTTCTAATACCTCTATCCATATAACTTGGGTAATATTCAATAAAATCTCCATGTGGTATATCTAATAAAAATTTGTTGAAAGAAACTATTGGCTCTTTAGTTAAATAATCAGTGTAAATGGATGTATCAATTTCTAATTTATGGTAAATACCTGTTTTTAATTGAACTTGGCCATGTTCAAAATAAACTGTACAGACCGGTTTGTTATTCTCTAATGTATACTCTAATTTAGGTTGTCCATTATTATATTTGGTATTTCGTGGTATTGTATCATTATATTCCTGACTTCGAGCTAAAGTAGTTGGATTAAAACTGCTAAAATCTGGTAAATCATCTATTTGACAAATAATTGGCGATGACATCACCAATAAATAAAATGTAACAAATAATGTTAAATATTTAATTTTCATTTTGACGCTTTTTATAATATGTATCCATTCAAGACAATTAATTTACTCGAAATTTAAGTTTGTAAAACCTGCCTTTCTCTCCATGCTAACCACCAAAACCAAGCAACAAAAAATCCATACACGAAGATAGGAAGTTGACCTTCTAGATGGGTTTCAAAAGTAAAACTGAAAATGGCCGGTATAAAAAATGCCATAAACCAGATATTTTTTCGCAAATATGGCATCGTAAAAGGTATAAACATGTGACTCAGAAATAATAAAAACGCAACAATTCCACCTGAAGCCCAATATATAATGATCTCACTACTCGGCAAAAAGTAACTTTTAGGAGACAATTCAGGTAAGTTTTGTTTGTACCAACTTTCTGTTTCTTCCTGTAAGTTACTGAATCCTACACCCGTTATTGGGTTAGAAATAATAATATCTTTACCAGCCTTTAATGAATTAAATCTAACAGCATCACTAAGTCCATCTTTAAATTCTCCTTTACTGTAATGGCCGAAATCATACTTTATATAGTTTACTCTCTGTGCAAATGTCGGTATGGTATTATATGCGATGATCGGTAAAATGAATATTACTGCCGCAAATAAAACAAAAAGCCAATTTTTAAGTCTTCCAAATTCATATGCTAATGAAATGATTGCAGACAAATAAAGTGCAATTAATCCAGTCTTTGAGCCAAGGATATGCAGATAAACGACTTGTATGATGATATAACTGACCAAAAGCAGTTTGATATATTTAGAAGTAGTAGGCTTATATTGATACAGAGCAAGTAAACAAGATATCACCACTACCCAGCTCACTCTGATATGATCGCCAAAAGACAAGACAGACATTACTTTAGATACATTATATTGAGATGTAATATTTTCATAGTCAAAAATATAGTTTTGAAGGCTGTACGCTGTAGAAATAGTCATTACAAAGATAATAAGATAATGAATAGCACTTATTAAATTTTTCTTTGGATTAAAAGCAAATATAAAAGCCGGGAAAAGAATAAGTAAGCATTTCATGACGCCACGATGCTGCAAAAATCCTGTTCCCTCATAAATTATATCACTTAGCAATGGGAGTAAAGCCAACCCTAAAAAAGTGAACATCCACTTATTATAGAATAGCCAGCTTATTTTTCGAATATGAAAAATAACATATATACCAATTAACAGAAACCCAATATTTGAAACTACTCTTGAAAACAAAAAGCCTATAAACAGTAGAATTAGTCCAAGCAAAGGCAATGCTATGTTCCATTTATTAGCTTTGGCTTCTGTATCTATTGTATTCAAATTATCGATATTGTCTTTAAAATATTGCAAATGAGCCGCAAATGTAATATAACGAAACTTATCATCAAAATTGTCTAATCTGACATAAATTTAGTTATTGAGCTAAAGCTGAAAAAATACCTTCAATTTCAGTATGATTTTATACCTTTACATCGTTTTTTAGAAAAATCCATAACATATGTCAGCAGATATTTTTGCAAAAGTCCATCAAATACTAGACAATATCAAGTCTGTAAGTATAGAAAATACAACAGATCTAGAAGCATTCAGAATCCAATATACTGGATCTAAAAATGAGTTAAAAGCTCTTTTTGGTGAAATCAAAAATGTGGAAAATGATAGAAAAAAGGAATTTGGACAGTTGCTTAATGATGTAAAGCAAGCTGCTGAAGAAAAATATGAAACATTTAAAACAGCTCTAGAAGCTTCGTCTGGCAAACAATCAGGTACGGACCTTGATCTCACAGCACCATCTGAAGCTATTCCTTCAGGATCGCGACATCCAGTTTCTATAGTTCTTAATAGAATCATCCAGATATTCGAAAGAATAGGTTTTACAGTAGCCGAAGAAAGAGAGATAGAAAACGATTGGTACAACTTCACAGCTATGAATACGCCAGAAGATCATCCAGCTCGTGATATGCAAGATACTTTTTATCTAAAAGACTCTACGACTGAATTGCTTCGTACACATACATCATCTGTACAAGCAAGAATCATGACTACCCAAAAGCCACCTATTAGAATTATAGCTCCTGGTAGAGTATATAGAAATGAAACGATTTCGTCTAGATCTCACTGTCAGTTTCATCAAGTAGAAGGTCTATATATTGACAAAAATGTTTCTTTTGCAGATATGAAGCAGACATTATTATACTTTGCAAGAGAGATGTATGGACCTGATACCAATATCAGACTTAGACCTAGTTTTTTCCCATTCACAGAGCCAAGTGCAGAGATGGACGTGTATTGGGGATTAAAAAACGAAGATGATTATCGAATCACCAAAGGAACAGGATGGTTAGAAATCTTAGGTTGTGGTATGGTAGACCCTAACGTACTCATCAATTGTGGTATTGACCCAAATGAGTATAGTGGTTTTGCTTTTGGTATGGGTATAGAGCGACAAGCTATGCTTCAGTTTAATATTACAGACATCAGACAGCTATTTGAGAATGACACTCGATTCTTGAAGCAATTCAGTGGTGTGATCTGATGGACGCTATAAGGCGGAATGCTATATTTGCGACGATAATAGGTGCAATTTTCTGGAGTACAGGTGGACTTTTCATCAAGTTATTGCCGCAGGATGCATTTACCATTCTATTTTATCGGGGATTTTATGCTGCCACCATATTTTTAGTACTATTTAGAAAGTCATTGTTTCGGTTTAATACGCTTTCGTTCATTAGTGTTTTATTTTATGTTCCACTAGTAGTTTCTTTTGTGTTGGCAACAAAACTCACCACTGCTGCAAATGCTATATTTCTACAATACACAGCACCAGTTTTTGTGATGATTTTTGAACCGTATTTAGCACGTACGAAACTCAAACCAATCAATTTAGTCACTGTTATTATCTCTATGGTCGGCTTATGTCTCTTTTTTGTAGACCAGTTTTCAACACCCGAGAGTTGGCTTGGCATATGGATAGCTTTAGCGAGTGGATTGTTTTTGGCAGGTCTTTTGGTGACTCAAAAGCTCAATAAATCTGAATATATTCCAGGAACTGTTTTCTGGGGAAATATCTTAGTATGTCTCATAACGCTTCCGTGGTTTGTGTCTAGTCCTTTTCCCAGTTTTGAAGAAAATAATTATCTGATGCTCCTTGGAATTGGGCAAATAGGCCTTGGATATGCCTTTTTTATGTATGGTCAGAAACAACTTGCCGCTATAGAAAGCTCATTAATTGCCATGATGGAACCCATTCTCAATCCTTTATGGGTATATATAGGATATGGAGAGAGGCCAGGACTTTGGGCAATAGCCGGTGGTTTGGTGATAATCGCAGCGCTTATTTTCCGATTATATTGGGTAGAAGTACGTGAAAAACGGATTTACCCTACATAAAACTCATCATACACTACTTTTTCAACTTCTTTTCTAAAGGCATTTGGACTTTTGCCCGTTTTAGCCTTAAAGAGTTTATTAAAGTGTGAAAAATTATTAAAGCCACTATCAAAACAAACTTCCGCAATAGAAAGCTGCTCTTCTGTCAGCAACTTACAAGCATGAACTATCCTGAACTCGTTTACAAATTC